CAAATGTAAAGCTATATAATATGGGAACAGCAGTCAGAACTCTTGTGGTAGAGACAATGTCTTTTATTAGACCAAGTACTCTTTCCTGCCATGGCAGGGGGTCGGACTTGATGATCTGTTCAGGTCCCTTCTGACCCTACAAACTATGAAACTAGATAGTTACACTTGTTTTCCTATATGTTCTGTATGGGAACAGAACATTTCCTGCCTCTGTGCAATTGGGACAAGCAGTCAGCAGAGGGCAGCAGCAGCTTCTGCAGAGATTAAAGGAGAAAGAAATCGACAGGCTGGAAAGGAAGGAAAAAGCTTCTGCTTGGGACTGCAAAGCTAAAACGCTAAAAAGGGTTGAAGGCGGAGGGAAGGCTCCAGCTCTTTGCCAGCATCAAGGGATCACAATCTGCTATCACAGCCAGGAGCAAATGCAGGGCTGCCCCTGTGCTGTGCTGGGGATTGATGGAGGGGGCTATCCACCAGGGGACGCCCGTGCTCCACCCACTGCAGTACTGGGGGCCTTCTAAGAGGGGAAAAACCTCTGTCCCATTCCTGTCCCCCACTTCCAGCCAGCCAGGTCCCTCCAGCTGTTGCCAGAGTGCAACCAGGGGTTTAGAGGTATTGAGGCACCAGATTAGCTGAGTTTAGTGCTTTTAAATCAGGTGCAAGAAGGACGAACAGGCCTCGAAAGGCATACATAACATCATCCTCCAATTCCTCATATCCCCCAACGAAGCCAAAAGTGCTCTAGGGTATGAAGCACGTGAAAACCAGGGGAGGAAAAGGTCCTGAGGGAGTGGCGATGGAAGGTGCCTGGGGTCCGGGGACTGCAGCAAGACATAGCGGGGTAGATATCCCTATTACTCCGCTACTTCAGGACTGCAAGGGGTTTCAGTGTCAGGAGTAGCATATCAGATGACAAAGGGAAAGTGAGAGCATGCTTGCATGCACACACATGCGTGTATGTGAGCACATACATGACTGCAGGAGTTCCCAGGCTGGATGTGCTAGCCACTCCGATTTCCATAAAGGTCTGTGTGTATGTGTGCGTGCGCACGCGTGCTAGGGGGTGGATTTAGGGCTAGACAGGCCCATTGGGCTCAGCAGAAATACTAGGCTGGTGACTATCAAGCTTGTTAAGACTCCAAGCCCCACTCAGAAAACACCAGCTCTTCATTTCACCCATGTTTTTGACTACGGGAAAATACTAAAGCAATGCTTCTGTTGCAAAGCCCACAGCAGATCAGGATGCTTTTGACAACACGGATCTCACTATTGGAGATCTCTTGATCGATCTTGGGAATCAGGTGGAGATCTTTCCATGCATAATAGTGCCCCCACTCTTTTCTTATGTCCTGTCCTAGCCTTTGGATTTAAAATGATTCTTTCCATTTGGACACCTGCTGCCTGCCTGCCCTTTTGTAGCCCTTGATGAAGCAAGCAGCTACTTCTGAAACTTATGCCTCTCTGGATTAGTCTGTAAAGGTGCAGCTTTGTCCTGCCTTCTACCAGTGCTAATATCGTGCTGAATGCAGCTTTGTCCTGCCTTCTACCAGTGCTAAAATGGTGCTGACCCCTGGCTGAGAATTGCTGCCACAAGGTGGATGGTAACAGCCAAGTGTTGAGTGACTGAGCACAAAGTATTCACTAGCTTGATGTAGCTTAGGAAAGAGGCAACACTCTCTCTGCTACACTAAGGAGCTGCAGCTGAACCCCAGTGTGTGCTCTTGCATCCCCCAGGACATGGGCAGGCTCTAGCACCATTTCCCTCTGTGGCTTTCAGGGCACCATCTTGGCAGCCCCTGCACTGAAATGAGACCCCTTTAACTCCAGGATCAGCACTGCCTTTCCCTCCCAGTAGCTCCATCACACTCTTTTTTAAACTAGCACCTGCCATCTGAAAGCAAACACACTTTCACAAATGCTCCTGCATACAATCACCTTTCACAGTAACAGGCCCAGGGAGTGAATAGACCTGAGCAGAATAATACACACTAATGCACATCTCCCTGCCTTGCCCTCTCTGCTTCCTCAGCTCTCTACAACATGCTTCAGTTAGAGCTCATAGACCTCAGGATACACCTTGCTGCAGACAGCAGTGCTTCCTAAGGATAAGGATAAGGATAAGGTCTCCCCCCCCAGATTTTTGCCAAAAAGGCTAGCAAAACCCTTGCTTCTTTTTTATATCCCCCAAATCCCTTTATCAGGTGACTTCCTAATAAGGGAGTCAGCAACTTCCTGTCTGGAAGCAATGACCAAGTAGATAGCAAGGGAGCATCACCCTGGAGGTAATGGGGGAAGTGCTGGGTGCTATGGGATGATTAGCAGCACCTGCTTTTCTCCAGCCTGCCGACAGTGCAGAGTTGGGGTAACCAAGCCTCTGACTTCTCAGACTAGTCTGCTGGAGTGGGGACAACCTCCACATTTCAAGTGAGGGGACTATGTGTGGAAGCAACTGTTTGAGGCAAGCTTTGAGTGGTAACTTGGGGTCAATATACAACCAAGACCCAGGTGGGTTTTAGCCAACCAGTGCTGTCTTACCACCTCATCTTTTATCCAATTACCCTGATAAGTATCACTTCGTTAAGTAACCCCACAGCCTTCTTTTGGATAGCAATTATCACCTCAACTTCCAAATTTCAGGAGGAAAAAAAAAATCCTGTCACCTGACAAAGCCTCAGTGAGAAGGGGGTGTTGTCACAGTGGAATGACAGGGTTTGTGTTTATCTGCATAGGCCCAGGATTGAATAAAAGCTGAGCACCTCCCCACATCATGTGCTTATCTGCATGGAACAGGCACTGTTCACATTAAATCCACGGCACTGTCAGTGTGGGGGGCATTAGAACCACCAAGCTGACTAGTTCTCTCATTTTCAAAGCTCAGAGCAGTCCTGTGATGGCTGTATGCCCCTCACCATCTCTGATGCTGATCAGTATGCAGTTAAACAGAATACAATTGCATTACAAAGTAGATAGCAGGGCCCAAAAACAGCCATTTGTGCTCTTACTGGTTCTCTGAATATCAGTTGTTTGTTATAATGCAAGCAATAGGCAAGAAACTTAGGACTGGCCTTGAGTTAAGTGCTGAATTCATATGACTGCCGATGTGACACATGCAAGCCTGGTGTGCTGTAGGAGGGGAGCAAGTTTGGGAACACAAGGAATTTGGAGATGTCATAAGGCAGAAATTGAGGGGTCCTACTCCCCTGCTCTGCACTGTACCCCAATTCTAGTTACAGCTTCTACCTCGTTTCACTGTGAAACCAGACCCTGGAGAAAGGGCTGCTGGTCTCCCACTCCTCCCTGTAGAGACATGGAGAATGTCCTGGCTGGCAAGTCCAGCCTTGGGTTTAATTCATTCCCACCTTGCTTTTCGTTGCACTTCAGTTGATGCCAGGGTCTCCCTCTAGGGAGTAGCAGGGCAGTTCACCTCACTGCAGAAACCAATCTGGCCACTGGAAGGTGAGGAGATGGACAGAGCAAACACAAAAAGCTGAGCCCATGTCCTGGGAGGAAGACAGCATGGTAGAGACTGGGTATATGACATTTTGGCTGTGCTGACCCTGCTGCCTCAGCTTAGCTTTAGACACTGCACTATAACAAGCAAGCTCTGCTCCTTGAAACACAGCTGAACTCAATGCCCCAGTGCTGCAGGGATAGGGGCTTGGCAGGTCATTGCCGATCCAGTCACTGCAGCAAGCAGGATCCACAGACTGCAGCAAGCAGGGTATAGGGCCTCTGTATGGGGTGCTTTCCTTTAAGTACATCATGTATACAGAGGGCCTATAAGCTTAGTTCAGTATTTTGCAGGGCATCAGAAGCCCAGGGCACAAAAATAAGAATTGTGCAGCCTGTTCTGGATTGCACCGGGCCCCACACAGCTTTGGAGTGACTTCAAATGAAACCTGGTGATGAGGATGCAGTGGTCTACAGAACAAGAGGGTCACCAATGGTCCTTAGGCCCAAAATGAGGAGTACTATGGTTTTTCTGTCCATCCAGCCTGATCCACATAATTGCAGCTTTACTAGCTACCAAAAACAGAGGAACTGAGTCAAGCCAATCAAGGCTTCCTAACACCAAGCTAAAAAAGGGTGGCTAGCAATTGCCACTGGAGAAGCAGGATTTATTTGGGAATATCCTTTCATGGACCAACCACATAGCAAAGTAGTAATCTCTGCCCAATTCTCTTTCGCAGTGACCCCTTCATTTATGTAACAAGGTGACCAGGAGGAATTACTCTATCTGGTAATGAGCTTAGGCTGTATTAACTTCTTTTCCAGACATAAGGAAGGGCATTTCATGACCAAAGGCCTGTCTAGCACCTCTCTCCACTGTGCAGTTGGTCCAATAGAAGGTGTTTCAGAACAGAACTTCTCCTCCCACATCGCATTGCTGTAGCCTGGACAATCCAGACTGCAACGCCATAGGAACAAGTGCACTCAGGGACCTGCATACTTGAAACCCTGAACCTAGCACAACCCTTCAGCACTGGGCAGCAACAGGGGCATCTTACCATCTAAGTCCATTTATGTCATCAGAATTAAGATAACAAGGATGAGCACTGATGACACGGACACAATTTAATACAAAGAGCAGGACATCTAGAGGTTGCAAGAGGACTGAAAGGCACTGGGAACACCATCTAGAAAAGGCTTAAGGGGAAAGGCAGGGAGATATTGGTGGGTGTGTGAAGGGGTGGAAGTTTCACAGAACCTGGAAAAAGATGTTTCCTCCCCAACCCCAAAATAAACTCAAGTTTCCACTGCTTTGAAGCCGAGGGGGCAAGAGCGAGTTTCCATGTGGTAAGGGTCAGGAAGTGGAGAGGTGAGACTAGACATAAGGCTCTGAGTCTCCATGGTAACCCACTTCCGGATCCCCTTGAAAGTAGGGCAGAATAAAAGCTTGCTGGCTGGGTAGAGGAAGTGAGGCCTAGTGAGTCCTCCTGGAGAAACAGCTGGGAGTCCTGATGCTGAGCAGGAAGAGTTCCCCAAAATGACTAATACACAAGTATTAAAATGAGGTTTATTGGGGAAAGGGGTTATAGTGAATGGGGGAAGGCAGCATCTCCTCCCCTATCACGGAACAGAATCTGAGTCCATAGGGAGCCAGCTCCTTGCTCTCTTTCAGCTGCACATTCAGAGCACAGGAGGAAACAGGATCCTGGAAAGAAGACAGAGGGGAAGTGAGTTAAATGGGTCACCAAAGATAAAGGCTGAACATCCCTGTCTCCCCCCCCACCCCCCCAAGGTGCCAGGTTTTGTGGTTTGTTTTTTTTAAGCCTTCATCATTTCATAGTGCTTAGGGTCCGAAAGGACCTAAATAGATCATGAGGTCCGACCCCCTGCCCTGGGCAGAAATGAGTGCCAGGGTCATAACAACCTAGCCAAATATCTGTCCAACCTCCTCTAAAAGACCCCCAAGGCAGGAAAGAGCAACACCTCACTTGGGAGCCCATTCCAGAGCCTGGCAGCTCTAAATGTAAAGTAGCGTCTCCTGATGTCCACTCTGAACCTTCTAACAATTTGTAGTCATTATTCCTAGTAACCCCTAGTGGTGCCTGGGGGAACAGAGCCTCCCCCAATTCCCGCTGGTCTCCCCTGGTGAGTTTGTAAATGGCCACCAAATCCTCTCTCAGCCTTCTCTTGCGGAAGCTGAATAGATTCCGGCCCTTCAGCCTCTCTTCGTAGGACCTGACCCACTGCCCCTTGACCATGGAAGTGGCCCTCCTCTGGACCTTCTCAATGAGAATCACATCCCTTTTGAAGTGAGGCAACTGCAGCCTGACCAACAATGCTGCATTGAGGGGATGGATCACCTCCCTGGACCTGCTTGTGATGCATCTGTAGATGAACGACAAGGTGCGGTTAGACTTACTGACCGCTTCCTTACATTGGTGGCTCATGTTCATCCCGGAGTCAACAATGACTCCAAGATCCCTTTCCGCCACTGTTTTGACAAGAGGGGTGTTTCCCAGCCTATAGGTATATTGCTGGTTCCTTCTCCCTAGATGCAGTACCCTGCACTTGTTTGCGTTGAATGCCTAATGCCTTCCTCAGAAGCATTAGGTACTGGCTGCAGCTCAGGATGGGGACTGTGCTTGGGCTATGCCAATGCTCCTAGAACTTAAGCCTGGAGGTGCTTGGCTTGCGGGTTTTACTCCTCCACTCAGGGTGCAGGGTCAGCCCGATTGACATATTGGAGTCGGGAGGGAATTTTACCCCATGATCAGATTGGTATGGACCATGGGGTTTTTTTGCCCTCCTCTGTAGCAGGGGACGTGGCTCTCTCAATCATATTTTAACAACACGGGCAGCAGCATCACATTGGCCACCATGTTTTCCCTGGGCAGAATAGGGTGCCATGTCTTGTGTTGTGTTAGGGTTGACTCTGCAGTTTTCCAAGAGGTTTGACAATGGACTTGTATAGGATGGTTTGGATAGGGATGACCATGCCTCAGGCAGGAGATTTGACTAGATGACCTCGGGAGGTCCTTTCCAGCTTGACTTCTCCGATCCCAAACAGTAAAGAAACCATAACCCCAATCTAACAACCACATAAAACTGAAGGAGGGTATAGGAGGACTTTCAATTTGTTCCCCCTTTCTGCATTTTTATTCGTAACTGAAGCCTACCCATTCCTAACGTAGAAGACTACTGTCCCAGAGCTTCAACCTGCAGCCACTCAGCCTCTGGACAAGCCTACAGGTCTGCACCCACCAACTCCACAAATAACTTGCGTTCCCCTCCCCACTTAGTCTAGCAAAATGTCCTCGTGATTAATTCATTCAAGCCCATTTCTCCTGCCTGGGTGAAGCCAGGGGTCCCACCTGCTGCTGCCTTGCTCTAACCCGACGGCCTTCACTGGAAATAAAAGGAAGTCTCCGCGGCCGGTACCGCGCAGGCGTCGCAGCTCAGCGTGAACAGCCCACTGGCAAGCTCCCTCCGCAGGCTCGCTACCTTATGCTCTTTGGGTCAGCCGACAAAATTGATGACCACCAGGTGCAGGATGGTGTTGGCAAAGAGGAAGTCGGCGAACGCCCGTTCTGGCGAGATGCCCTGGAACTCCCCTTTGTTCTGCGGGTTGATCTGGATCCTCAGACAAACTGGGTGGGCGATAGAGAGAGACACAAAGAGACAGCGTCAGACAGCTGCGTCTGGGAAGAAAGACGCGGATGGGCCCGATTTGCTTATGATGAGCATAATGCAAAGGCCTAGGACACGGACCACTGTGGCATAGGGCTCCTGTGGCTCAGCCCTGAGAACGAAGCTGGGGGGGGGAGCAAGATCCCCAGGGGTCAGAGGTCACACAGGCAGGGGCAGGGGGTCCCTCACCGCCCAGGATGAAGCTGCCGACGGCGGAGATGAATACCGGCCGGTGAGACTACTTCCGGGTCAGAGCGCTGGGCGCCGGCGCACTACAAGGAGTTGGGGGCGTGTGCTTGTAGGCTGGAGGGAAGCCCATTCATGGCACCCAAGCCCCGCCCCTTTCCCACACTGGCCCCGCCCCCTGCCCCGCATCAGCTGTGCCTGGC